GCTGCCTCTGCGCTGCTGAGGGACAGCCCAGCTTCCCGCGTTCACATCCCCGGCTGTGTTAGGAACGAAGTCTGAGAGAGGCTTTACAGGAAAAACAGCACATCCACTATATGAAATGAAATCCTCTAGTGCAATTCTGCTCGTGGCTTTCAGTAAATCAAACTCCACAGCTAAATTGTTAGAGAATGGTACAACTAAGTGTTCAGATTTTATTGATATAGCACATAATTCTCATGTATCCACGCAGTAACAATGTAACATTTATGTAAATAAAAATACCTTTATTGTATTGATTCATAAAATAACAATTTAATTTCTTTAATTTGTTTACAGTCCTGGAAAAACTATGAACACAAACTTAATATGCAAATAGTTTGCCAAAACAAGAGGAAAACCTGGGATTAGCGGTCTGGAACTAGAAATGTTGGAAAACACAAAGACCTGTGCGCTTACCCAAACTCTTGTCCTTGGCCGTGGGGGAGCTGCAGCAGCGCTGCGCTCGCTGACCCCGTGCTGGGCTGTGGAGGGGCTGCTCGGCTGGCGCTGAGCGTGGCCCAGGGCAGCGCCGCCTCCCGCGCCCCGGTGCTGCCGTGCGGGTCCCCGGTCCCAAACCTTCCCACCTCGCACATGGGGTCGTCCCTCAGCACCTTGGTCAGGCCGAGTCAGGCAAATTCCAGCCCTTTCTGTTTTGCTGAAGACAATGAATTGCAGAAGCCTGGAGATTTGTAGGTAGGAGGAAGGGAGAATCCCTTGTAAAGGTGATTTGCTGTTAGAAAACAGAGCTGTCAGTTGTTTCTCCTATGAGCAGATTTTCTTTAAGCGGAAATGGTGATTCCAGATGGGCTGCCAAATCGGTGTTGTTTGCACCGGATGCATTTGAGAGCAACTCTTGCAGTCTTTTGCATTGCCTGTATAAAAAAAAGTGTCCCTAAATTAGGATGAATGCATTCTTTTGAAATACGTGTAATGTGAAATCAAATGGACAGTCATTAAAATTACCTTCCATGTGGGAACTAGAACAACTCCGGGCTCTCAGTCCCAGCTGAAAAAAAACCTGGTATCTTCATAAAGTCAGTCAACAAAAATGAATTTATTCCATTTCCCGAATGAAAGGGGAGTCTTTTAATGTTTTCACTGCATGGTTCAGTGAGAGGACCCGAACTCTGTTCGAGCAGGGGTGTCAAACACGTTAGGTCATGGGGGCTGAATCTGGGCGTGCTTGCAGTCGATGGCCAGGGTTTAATTTAGGACCACGTGCGCCTCAGCGGGCGCGTTGTCTCCCAGTACCAGTTGTTGGGAATCCTTGTGCTTAGATCAAGGGGAAAGCACGGCCTTTCTTCAGTGATTAAACTGCTGTTAGTAATTAGTTGTTCAGTGCCTTACTGTCCCATCCGTCAGCCTGCTCCGTGACAGCCGCTGCTGTTCTTCTGCCTTCGTTTTCTCTCCCATCCTTTCCCGGTTCTCGCTCCTCCCGGCTCCGCTCTCTGCTCCCAGCCCAGCTGCTTCCCCCCCGTCCCATCGCTCCGTGTGTGCTCGCAGGCGGGTGCCGGGTCTGAGGGGGGGGATGGCTCTGAGCTCCCACCCCGCAGCCCGGGGGGCGGTCGCTGCTGTGGGGCTGCGCGCTCGGAAATGAAAACTCGAGATTCAGACAGAGCAGGTTTTTAACGCATGGACCACGTCACGGGGACCGCGTGTTTGACGCCCCTGTTCCAGAACACGTTTCCCATCGCGCACTCACTCCAGTTACGTCCTGTAACGGTGATTAACATTTTTGTTTGTGTTTGTATTTTCCCTGACTTCAAGATAATTCAGTAGTATTTGAATAGTGCATAACCTACCTGTTACTGATGCCGATGTTTCTGCTTTAATGTGCATGAGGTTTCCGAGAACAGGAAACATTTCCAATAAGTATTGTGGACTGAGCACCTGGGAGCGTTTCGGGGCTCTATTCCTAACTGGGTTGTAGGTTTTAGGGCTTTTTCTGTTTCATCCTAAGGTTAATTTTTTTATTTTTTCAGCTGTAATGAAGCACGTCTTATTGTTATGCGACAGACTTACCACCGACAGTCACTTCTAGTGTTGGTCCCACCGTTGTTTTATTTTTAACGCAGTATATTCACCTGTAAATAGTTTTTGTGTAAAATTTGACAGAAAAGTATATTTACTACACTGTAAATACATGTGACAATATATTGTATTATTTTGCTTTTTTGTAAAGCAGTTAGTTGCTGTATATGTATAACATACAGATTTGATTATTCTAGTGGTAGTAACCGTTAACTCCTCCTCCTCCTCCTCCTCCCTGCTGTTGCGTTTCGTCATTTAAAACAAACGCTGTGTACGATAAACCTGCACTGTGTATGATACCTTAATTTGCCGCTCGGGGCTCGGCTTCGGGAACGTTTCCTGATCCCCAATCCTGTTCCTTTCGTGAGCGAGCGCGCGACAGCCGGCGAGGGCCCTGCCCCTGGAAACGCAGTTGGCAACTGTGGGGAAAAAAAACGGTAGAAACCCGGTTTCGGATCATTGCTGATCACCCCCTTGTCCCCTCATGTATGTACTTTCCCTGTTTTTTTTTTTGAAGTAAAATGTAAATTGAACCCGCTGGTGTTGTGCAGAGGTCGTTGCTTCACCGCTGCTGCGGGGCGAGGGGGGCGCGTGCTGCAATCGTCCTGTTTCGGGACAGGTTTGGATGGGTCCTGTGGGTCCAGCCCCAGTCCCAGACCTGAAACCCACCTTTCTCTGGGGAAAATGAGAACCGAGTTGAAATCCCGTGTCACAGAGCTGTCTGTGTGGGGGATACTGCACAGCTCTAAATACTGGCAAAGCCGATTGCCCGTGGGTGACTGAGGGCAGAATTTGGGCAGAATGAAACCCGTTATCGTCAACTTCAATAGGATTATCGTAACTGAATAATTGAGTATTTCTTTTTAAAATGTAAACTTAATATTTTAATAAAACAGCTGCTTGGTCTTTAAAGACTATTTCAGTATAATTTGTCTATTTGAGCTTTTCTGGCTTAGATGCTTGAAGTTTCAACTGTCAGGCAACTTTTATGACAAATTATTAATCAAATCTGGGGTTTTTTTAGGGGAATACATTACTTTCCTATGAAAAATGTGCAAGTCCTTATATTCTGGCTTTGTGAATCGTCAAAGGGTGTGAAAACACATTGAAGTGTGACTGCAGTGACTTCTGCAGAGACCTCTTACGAGGGCCGCTCAGCTGAAGTAAAGTGATGTGCGGGCAGCGCCACTGGTGCCGGGAGGGACTGCATGGATGGAAGGGCCGCACTTGTGCAGGTTCACATTTCAGGAGCATGTTTTTACTTACAGGAAAACTTTATTAATCCTAAATGGCAAATAGCAGCGCTGGCCTGAGCGAAATATTGAGCTGTTGTAACTATTTCCAAGTACCCCTGACTTGGAATAAGAAGTCTTCACAGTAGTCCTATTTTAGATACCCCAGAAGATTCACACTAAACTTGTAATTCCCTTAATGGGAGCCTTTTAAGCTCACTGAAAAACTGCAAAAGAAAGGTGCACAAACATTACAAGGACAAACCCGTTCCCAGGAACCCTTGTGCTGGTGGCAAAATGGGATTTGGCCCTCGTGCCGCAGAGCTGCAAGCTACAGCCAACCTCTCGTGGCCGTGGGGCGCTTCTGCCCGTCCCGGTTCAAAGCAGCGCTGGGCCTTGCCGGAAGGTCACGATTTTTGGGTGTGAATCCCATGTGTCTTGGAGCATCGGTGTCTTTAGTGACTGCTGCGATGTTTAACGAGCTCCCAAAGGAAAACAAATCCCAGGGCTGTGTGGGTACAGAGTGTAGAATAACATCTCCCACGATGTGAGTTGTTCAAACAAGTATGGGTTTGTTCTTCAAAGCAGTAATGAAAAAAGGAAAACAACCCTGTGATGACGGCACCTGTAGGGATATTCAGTGATAGTGCTCTAAGTAGCCATGAGTACTGACTGCGTGTTGAGGAAAATCCCACTGACCTGTTGAACTGTCTTTTTTTTCCCATAGCATCCTGTCCTTCAAAAAAACCCTACACTTAGTGTGTCCCCCTTTCCTTACCGACCAAAACCAGGCAGTGTCCTAATTGCTGGATGGTTTTGCTGACACCTCTGTGTTGGTAAAGGAGCACACTCCTGCCACGGCACAGCTTCGTTGTCAAGAGCGCAGAAGTTTGTTCGGAGCACAGATGTCCTCAGAGCAGCTCCTGACTCCTCGAGGCTTTGGTACAAGGCGTGAGTCAAGCCTGGCTGCTGGAGGTGCCCAGAAGAAAAAATGGTAGCCACCAGTGCTGCAGTCTGCTGCCCAGCTGATTCCCAAAATCAGCCTCCTGCTACTGCGAGCGGACAGCAGGGGTCAGAGGGGACAAACGATGGGGAAATAACGCGGCCTGTGTGAGGCTTTGTGCTGCGCTGTGCCCAGGAGCCGCTGAGGAAGAGTCAGCACCGGCCTCTCCACTGATCCCAGAAGATCCAGGCCGCACACGGCGTCTGTGGGCAACCCTCACTGTTACAGCACGAATCGTCAGCAAAGGATAATTACCTTAATTAGTTCTCAGGGTGTTACGCTGTCTCCTTACCCTCGTGCCCTGGAGAGCTGCTCTCTAAAGGCCCTGAGGTGAGCGAGATCGCTGTGTCCCTACGGCACAGAGTCAGGTATGGGCCAGGAAAGGTAAAAATTGGCTGCAGGGCTTGGCCGAAGCTGTGCCAAGGGCAGTTTGATACCCAGTTTAATTGTCTAAGTTTCTTTCTTGGTTTAAGTATTTCAAAACTCGTTATTTGCTTTTTTTGCATTTGACAGCTAATGAATACAGCAGCTCACTCCTTCCTTGCACTCCCTCCTCTGTTAGCTTTCCATTTGGTTGAGCTTTTCTCTGTACACACCTGGTTCCTTACGCACGCTTCAGAAATGAACCGAGCTGTACAATTCAGTACTTTATTTTTCAATTTTCCTATGGAAATACAGTCCTGGTTTCCTCTCGCTGATCACACTGGTCTGCCTTGAAATGAAAGCGCTATGTCCAGCAGCTCTTTACCCAGGTCCTCGTGCCTTCCTCCGGCACTGAACTCTGCAGACAGCTCCCTGAACGTGGCGCAGATTCGGCGATGCTCGATGTGCCTGCGGTAAATCGCGTGTTTCCACCTGTACCGCGCGTCGCCGTACAGCACCAGCAGAGACCGTCGCGGTAAGTGAACGGCCACGGTCACCTCTCTACTTGGAACGAGCTTTGGGGTTAACGTGCAGTCGATTCCCTCTTCATCTGAATTGCTGCGTGCTGCTGTCTGTGTTAAAGATCCAGGGGGACTTAATTCCCCGTTTTCTTTCCTGGAGGTGGGAAATAATTGGATGCTGTCCTCCGAATCACAAGACATGGATAGCACAGTTTTTGAGAGCAAGTTTAAGCTGACCAGACGCTCTCCCCAGAGCCACCAGTCGTCGAAGTGCGGGTCGATGGCAGAACCCCTGTCTGGAACATAGTCCAGGTTGCACTGTTCGACAGGCAAGAAACCACCTAGGACAGAGCAGGCCCTCATCTGCGCCACAATCTTCTTACTGAAACTCGGCAAACCGGTAAAGCTGCCAGCTCTCAGCCGTCGTTTCTTGAAGTTCACTTTGGGTCCATAGTCCTGTTGGGAAACAAGAAAAAAAGTGGGGGACAGCTGATGTTATGAAAAAATCTGGACCAAGTCTTTTTGGAGAGGCTGTGATCCCCACAGGACGTCTGAGTCCTCATCTCCTCCAGCGACCTGGTCACCAGGTTGCAGAAGGCCCAGTGCAGCTACACTGACCTCTCAGGGATTAATTTTCTCACCAGTAAAGTAAAAAACAAAACTCCTGCTTCTTTCACTTGGAGATCGTGTGAACTTCAATGCCTGAACACGCAACATCAAGGTTTGTTACAACTACCTTTTATTTTTGCGAGGAGTTGACTGTAATCACAATTCGTGCAATTGATTTCAGGAAAAGCTTTCAAAGGAAAAGATTTATTGGAACACGTGAACGTTCTGTGCTTTAACTGAAACCAGCTTCCCTTTCCCAGAGGGATCTAAGAACAAAAGTGCTTCTAAAGTCACACCTGTTTCTTTCGGCCGGACTGTGACGGTTTCCAGTCATCTCGATCCATCAGTTCAACGATCTCAGATTCTTCGTCTTCGCTGATGAACTCCTCCGTCAGAAACACCCCTGGGAATGGAAATGCCCAGCCAGCAAATTCCGAGTGCTCTTTTCCTCTAGCTAGGCCCGTTGCTGGACAGTAAGTGAAATTATCTTCCCCCTGTGGAAATAACAGTGGAGAAGAAATAACGCAATGGGGGGGGGGAAACGTATCAAGATAAGGTGTTTCCATGATTTATCCCTGCAAACATGGTGCTGTGGCAGCAAAACTGTCTGCACAGGATTCTTACAGATATGAGAAACACTACAGCTGCTTTTGGAGAACAACTCTTCCCTGCTCTTTTTTCACAGCTCCAGCATTCCCGTGCTGCTTGCTTCAATTATCTTCTCTTTCCTAGCAACGTCTTCATCCCGCTGAGGCAGGGGAGCACAGCTGATCCTCCGTGCCAAACGCATAAGGTGATTAATGGTCGGTGTTCCCCAGGTCGGCCGTAGAGAGCATTTGTCGCATCAATAAATGTTGAATGAGGGAAGTTGATACAAACCGCCGAGGCCAGGAGGCTGAGCTGTAGCGAACCTGTCTTGTCTTAACGAACGAGGCTCAGGTGCTGCTTTGTGCACCCCTAACGTTATCCAGGCGCCTTCAGCCCCGGGGAGGCCGCCGGGGCCAGCCCTGGGGGGGCTCCGCAGCCCCCCGAGGGGTCCTCTACCGGCACGGGGGGGTCCCGCA